TTAATTTTTTTAAATAAAAAGTTAAAGACAGCAATTTTATTGAATTTTTTTTAAAAACAAAATGATATATATATATATATATATATATAAAGATAATCACATGATGGATTGATTGATTCACATGTGAATAGTAAAGATTTTATTTTGTTGTAAATAGTTGAATAGAGAGTTCACGGGTAAATAGTATCAATATGTTTACAATGTTATAAATTGCTGAATTATGATTCATATTTATATTGCATTCTACTTTCAATCTTCCAACAATCTTAAAATTCTTGTTATTTTTAAAAGCCTTTTCTTTATAAGGTGAGTTTGAATTTATTTTATTTTAAATTTATTTTATACTTTTATATGATATTGTTGATATATTCAATCGTTTGAAACTTATATTAATGTTAATATTTCTTTTTATTTTTTGTGTATAGATATGCATCCGTCAAATGTATACGTACATCCTGGTCCAGTAGAGCATGATGTATTAAAAATTCAAGTTCACCATCGTTCCGAAGGAATTTGGAATGGTAGCATAAAAGAAGAGAGGTCTTGCTTATATACGCGTCGTGGTGATATTGAATTTTGGCAACATATAAAATATCATCCATTACATTCTCGCATCCTTCAATATTTTGAAAATTGTAGATTTAAAGGAATTCTTGATGTAGGATGTGTGCCGTATGACTCCGGATTAATTTCTGCTTTAATTGAAAGGTGGCGTCCAGAAACTCATACTTTTCACATGCGAACTGGCGAGACTACCATAACTTTACAAGATATTGAAATTTTATTCGGAATGGTAGTAGATGGTAGTCGTATAATTTTAAATGGAGCTGATTCTTTAGGGATTATAGGTAGACAAGAAATGATATTTGAATTAACAGGATGGTTACCCGATACTAGTTGTTTTTCTGGTGTTAGTAGATTGTTAACATATAAATTGATTGATTATATCGAAGGTTTGGATGGTATTAATGATAACTCAAATGAGCATGAAGTTCAACAAAGATTTAGATTATATTTATTATGGTTATGTGGTGGATCAATATTTTCCGGATAAATCTAATAATAAGATTAATTTAGACATTTTGATTGACATGAGAAATTTAGATTTAATGTCAACTCAAGCATGAGGATCAACCACATTATCATATTTGTATAATTGTTTATGCCGTGCATCAATGAAAAAATCAAATGAAGTTTGTGGATTTCTCTCTTTAGTGCAGGTATACATATTTTTTAATTAAATATTTTTTGTATACTAGTAATATGCACTTTTAAATTCAAGTGCATTATAAGTAATGGTGAATTTATTTATTGTAGATTTGGGCATGGGAAAGAATTATTCCCCTGCAACCATTGTCAAAGCCTCTAAGAACCAATCAACTTGAGGCTTCCACTGCGGTTGCACGTAAATGGATGCGACGTAGAAATTATCAAAATGAGGCACGAACTGTAATCGGTGTGATTAGGATTGTACTAGATAATCTAACTGATGAACAGGTATTTAGTATTATTAGTATCTTAAAATATTCATATTTTATTTTATTTTAATAAAAATATATTTGGTAGATCTTTAAATGAGGCACTTATGTTTCACTACCCAAGAATATTATGTGAATAAAATGACATATATATAGATTCTTGTTAGGTCCTTAAAAGTAAAATATGTTATGACACAATGGTACAAAAAAATTATTTTGTAAGATTGTTCATTTTCACGTACATATTTTTTTTTGCCAATGTTGTTTTTATAATTATCTTAATTATTTTTTTTATAGTTTATTTGGCAGCCTTATTCGGAAGATGTTATTAATGGATTGCCTGAGTGGTGTCGGTCAGGACAACGCGTCTGGATGGCACAGGTGCCACGATTTATGGAATTTATCGTGAGTGGCACATGGTTGATCGTGTTGTGAGACAATTCAGTTATTTACAACATATTCCTGGACCGTGTACCCAATTTCCGAATATCATTTTAAGCGTGATAAACGATCCAAAATAAAACAAGAAGATATAGATGCATTTAACTACATATGGGAACAACGTCAAAATCGTATATTTCAACCTCCATTTGTAAGTGATCAAACAGATTACTTTCGTTGGTACATGAGGCATACCCGCATGGTCATTGGAAATCCACAATATGTTGTACAAAAAGGGTATCAACACATGGCAGGAAGACATGAGGCATTAGTATGTATATTATGTAAATTTTAAATTATTATGTCAATCTTTAATAATTTTTTGTTATTAATATTTATTTATTTATTATAGGCTAGGGGTCATGAAATGCAGTATCGTCGAGCTCGGATGATTGAAAATGATGAAAATCAATCTAATGAAATGAGACAATATGTAGAGGAAGTCGCTCGGTTCTACTGTTAATTTTACTAGTCAGCAAACAATTGGTTTTGTAACTCCACAGGTTTCAATATTTGGTTTTGCGCAATTTAGAGGATCTCAATATGGTATTCAACATGGTATGCGTGAATTTCCTATACATAATTCTCCATTTGGTGGAAGATTGAATTTTTCAAATGTAAGTATAATAATTTTCATACAATTTTTTTTAACTTTTTATAATTTTTTTTAATTTTGTTGCATGTTTATTTGATTATATTATATTATATTATATTGTATTATAGGTAACTGTGTCCGATGATTCAAGATTTAATGCTGGGGTTCACAACATTTAGTTCTTAATAGACAAAATCCACCTCGGAGAACATCTAGGCTACACAAATCAACTAGATGTGGAACAGGTAGTCACTATCAAATTGAGGAAGATTTTGAAAATGAAGATGAAAATGAAGATGTAGAAGATTCGGATTCAGAAGAATAATTTTTTTTATGCACCTTTATTCTAAAAGGCTGAAGATTCGAATTTTAAAATATGTAAATTTTGTTGTTTCGTGCAAGTCTGAACAAAGTAATGAGATTCTTCCTTCTTCTTTTTTTATGTTTGAACAAGTTTGGAGGATTTAATTTTCTTCATGTCATATGTCAAATCAATACTTTTTATGTTAGGTCAAATCAATACCTTTTATATTAGGTCAAATCATTATTTTTTAATAGAGTTCAAATCAATAATATAATAATAATGTAAAGATATTATACGTACAATATTTAAAATGCACAAGACAAATTAAATTCATGTCAACAAATAAATATAAAAGATATATCATAATATTAATATCAAGATAATAAAAATACAATATTTAAAATCGAGTAGGACATTGTACCTTTATGTGACCTGTCTCCTTACAAACACTACATTTTCTAGTCATGCGAGCCGGAGCTATATCCATACCATTCTTAAGTCGGCGTCTTACTTGCGTACCACTTGTCCGCAAATATTCAGTATTATTAAATTAAAAGGAGCTGGTGGCCAATACATTTCATCACCCACTAGGTTAAATGTCTCATTGTGTGTTCGTTTGTAATATTTTGCACTGTAGAATTTACTTACATAAGATTTTGGCTCGATTCCGCGAAGTACACAAAATTTGATGACATGCGAACAAGACATATGATAGTTTCTCCATTTTCCACAAGAACATTTCTTACCTTTTACAGTAACCTTGTGGACATTTCCACCTTTACCATCATGAGCAAAAGTAAGAATTTCAAAAACTCCAAACCTGTGTCGTAAGTCATCATATCTATGTGCCCTTGAGCTCTTTGATAATAATCATTAAATTTTTTTTCTATCGCAAGAGGCCATGGCATATTACTTTGAAGTAATGTAATTGCAAGATTGTTTCTTTCGACAAAACGATCAACGAGAGCTTTGAACGTCATTCGAACCATGGCAGTCACAGGAAGCCCCCGAGCTTTTTTCAATAAACCATTATATGACTCAGACACATTTGTCGTCATGGCACCCCATCTACAACCACCATCCTTATACATTGTCCATTTTTCCAAAGGAAATTCATTTAACCATTCATATGCTGCAGGAGACAATGTTTTGATTTGTTGCATCCGTTGCACAAAAATTTTCTCCTGATGCTCAGTAGCAGCCAACCACATTAGATTTTCGAGTTCACTATTTACAAATTTTTTATTAAAATTTTCTTTTAAGTGTCGAACACAAAATCTATAACATGTGTTGGGTGGACTCAACCAATCATAAGATTGAACACACTGCAAGATTCCTTGATGACGGTTAGAAATAAGACCAATTCCTTGTCGTTCACAAACTACATGTGTCCATAATAACTTGAGAAACCATGACCAAGACTCAAAACTCTCACGTGCAACTAAAGCATATGCAAGTGGAAAAATATTTCCATTCGCATCAATTCCAACCGCAGTTAACAATTTGATATCATACAAACCATAAAGATAATGTGCCGTCGATAGAAATGACCGGCCTACAACTTTTGAAACCATCAATGCTTTGTTTAAAAGCCCAAAAAAGAAATTTAAAAATTTGCTCACCTTGCATTGTTGTAGAATGATGCTCCCACTCAATAATAGTGCCTGGATTGAATAATTGTAGTGCAGCCATGTATCGAGGTAATGCCTTAAATGAACTTTCAAAATCATCATAAACCATTCGAAATGCTTTTCTTCGACCTTTTTGTGCTTTTCTATAACTAGGAGTATAGTGATGCTTTCCTTTGATAATTTCACGGATCATCTTAATATTTATGTCCGGATTTTGCATAACATATGGTATAATGAAGTGGCAATCATGTTATTATTTAAATTGAAATAATCCTCCTTATAGTTATCTGTAAGACAAGTATGCGGTTCAATCATTTTTCCTCTCTTCCGCATACCGCTTGAAATCTCTCTAAATCGAATCATCCAATCACACCCTAACTCATGACGCTTGCAAATAACTTTCCAACTTTTACTTTTGGATTGATCACAAAGAAATTCTTTTTTAATAGCAAGACTATATGCTTTTACTGCAGATTTCATTTGAATCTTATTCATAAATAACATACCTAGTTGCATATACAAATTAAATTAATCAACATGAAATAAATAAATAAAAAAACAACTATAAAATATTTAGTTTTCAACAATCGAACCTGACTGGATATGTTTAGGATTGTTTGAATTTCAAAGTACCGTTCGAATGGAACCGTCATCTCTCGTATAGATAAATCTTCTGCATTTTCTTCAGTGTGATCTAAGTATGGAATCGCTGTAGAATGATAATTAATAAGTTGATCTTCAACGGATGCATTAGGTGCTTTAGGTGCATTATCCACATTATCATCATCGTCGTCATACATATCATCACTGTCTGTTAATTCATGCTCGGAAGGTTCATCATTGTGCAACTCACCAACTCGTTCATCACCCATAACATTATTATTTACAATTTGTGTACAATAATTCACTGCATTTTGAATTTGATCATAGCTATAAAAATAATAATATAAATATTTTACATATAAGAAAAAATAGTTTTTAAGAAATAAGAAAACATTACTCTATTTACCTATTAGTTGAATCCGATGAGAAAAAAGTTCAAATGACTGAAATTTTGGCTATACTCTCCATAATATTCAAATGACTTTATTTACCTAAGAGTGTTGGAAGATTGAAAAAGTAGAATGCAATATGAATATGAATGATAATTCAGCAATTTATAACATTGTAAACATATTGATACTATTTACACGTAAACTCTCTATTCAACAATTTACAATAAAACAAAATCTTCACTATTCACATGTGAATCAATCAATCCATCTATACTATTTATATATATCTATATATATATATATATAAAGGAAATTGCTATAGGCAGCCATTTTGTTTTTTTAAAAAAAATCAATAAAATCGCTGCCTAGGCAGCGATTTTAATTTTAATTTTTTTTATTTTTTATAAATCGCTGCCACGGCAGCGATGTACCTTATTTTTTTAAAAAAAATAAATTAAAATCACTGCAGAGGCAGCGATTTTACTTTTTCAGGTGAGGTAAGTCATTGTATCTACAGCAATTTTACCGTTTTGATTAATATAAAATTTTATATACTGTTTTAAAATTTTTATTAATATTTTGTAACCTTTAAATTTCGGACTCCACATATGTCTCTCCTTATCATGCGGCAACCAATATGCTTCTGCCTCTGCATCTCTTTGCCGATTTTCTACCCAAATTCAAATAAAATTCATGTACTGACTTTTTGGAATTCGGAAAGCATCATTTGCTCACGGTGAAACTCTCATTTTAAGAACCAAAAAAAAAAATTTAATAGAATTATCAAATACATCACCAAGTTCATATGCAATTAATGTGGTAACTTGAACAAATAATCATGTATTTGATGTTGGAATAAAAATAGTTAGAAGATAGTTATGGGTCAGAACTCCAATGTGAAACTTTTTTATGAATTTTAACATGATATTTTGTCCATTAAAAGATATATTATTTTGTATAAAATGAGATTTTTACAACTGAAAATTTTATAAATGAGATTTATTAGACTAATATTTTCAAATTATAGTAGAATAAATTTTTAACTTCAATTATAAATTTAGGCTTGTAACATTTTTTTAAAGAATTTTTTTTAAAAATAATATTAAAAAAAGTTTTTTTAAAAATATCATAAAAAAAATAGACAACATTAAAGATAATTAATAATGCAAAAAATTAGGAATTCAAAACAAAATAGGAATATTAGGGTTTTTTTTTACTCAATCAGTTATAATTAAATCAAAAATCAGATTTTATTTTTTTTCAAATGTTCTCTCTCCCTCTAATTTTTTTTCTATAAATTTGTTTTTCTTTTTTACTCAATTAGTTAAAATTAATTCAAAATCAGAATTTTTTATTCAAATGTTTCTTAGTCCATTGAATATTTATTTCTGTGATTGTTGTCATTCACGACTAATTTCAAAATATTTTTGGTTTAAAAATCGGTAATGGATGGATTTTTATCGATATTAATAAAAAATGGTGATCGATGAGATCCTTCCGGTTAGTATCCATTGCGATTTGTTATTTGTATTTTTATTCTAACTTCAAAAAAAAAAATTAAGAAACAATGAAGTTAAAAAGGAAATTTTTGAATTTGGTTGTGTATAACAGATTTCAATTGTGTTTTTTTTTGTATGAACCTACGTTTGTTTCATATGACAAAATAATTTATGTAAAAAATGAATAAATGATGTTATGAGTTTTTTGTATATTAGTTTTTGTAATTTGTACAGTGTAAACACCATTGTTATGGTGATTTTGTATTGATATTTGAATGATTTGATCATATTATTTCGTGACAATATATAAAACATTAATAATGTCATCATTATAAATATATGAAATGTTTGTAAAAAAATAATTAAAAAAATGCACAATTATCCCCTCAATCCGAAATTTCAGAGATACACTTAAAATATACTAAGGTCCAATTACCCCCTGAACTTATTTTATAAGTAATTTTCTACCCCTTTTTGGCCTACGTTACACTAACTTGAAAAAAAAGTCAACTAGCGTTGGGCCCACAAGATAGTACCACGTAGGCCGAAAAGGAATAGAAAATTATTAATAAAATAAGTTCAGGGGATAATAGAACCTTAGTATAGTATAAGTGTTTCTCTGAGATTTCGGGCACAGATCGAGGGGGTACTTGTGCATTATCCTAAAAATAAATGAAAGGAATGTGTTTTATGGTATGAATTGGGTAGACTGTTTGGAGTGATATTGATATGAATAAGTAATGACGAGTGTCTATAAATTTGTTTGATAATAATGAAGTTGTAGATGAAATTTGTGTTAGGTTGGTATGAAATTTGAATATAAATACAACATATTTATTATTCCTTTGTATTATGTACGACAAAGTTTTATTTTTTTATGAAATATATTTTATGGTGTGAATTCTGCTAGATTATTTGGAATGATATTGGTGTAGGATATTGATAGTATCCGGAACATGTTCTTTTGCTATGTAGCGTCCACAAATT